GAGAGAGAGAGAGAGAGAGAGAGAGAGAGAGAGAGAGAGAGAGAGAGCATCAAGGATTTTTATTTTTATCTGATAAGAATAGAAATTACGCGTTTCTTTTTCTATCTGTCTGTCCACATAATCATTGCTACTTATATTTAATTCTACGTTTATGAAAATTTGTCGACTAGGTCAGTTTTAGAGATAGGCGCTGACTTAGTTCATTATTTTAATGGAAATTATTTTTAATCTCGTATTTACCTTACTTTTTATTTTTTTCTGATTCTTAGAATTTATCTGAAAAAAGATAAGTTAAAAGAAATAAGTTAAACTGAGATTAAAGATAATCTACATTAATTGTACAAAGATAATGTATAGACACAAATCTTTCTCTCTCTCTCTCTCTATTGGTATTCAGCTTTAGAGATAGAATATTTATTTTAGAAATAATGCCTATCTCTAAATTCCAAATATTTGTGATATTTACATTGAAAATTGCTGGTTATTTTTAAATCAATGTTATTCTTAATCGTAAACAAGATTTTATCTCTTACATGGAATAATCTCATTTTTTAATCTTTATCATTAAATAAACATCACTTCTCGCGTAAAGTGCAGGAAAACAAACGAATGTTGCATAATCTTGAACGTGATAGATTATATACAAGTTGTATATAACACTTCCATAATCTTTTCAACATACATTTCTATCTTTGGAACTTACATAGGCCTGTAATTAAAATGCAGTTATGACAATATTAGCGCATCAACGCGCGACAATTTGTGTTACACTGTACAATATCTCGACTTGTTTATAGCGCACTAATATCATTATAATAAACATCATTCTATAAATACACGGCATATTTTCCGTTTTAAATTTCAATGTTCATCCGAAGTTTCTATACGAAATTTACGATGCATGTGTGTTCACAACCTACAACTGCTGTTTTTAAATCATTATTTAAGAGTGAAATTTTGATTTATCTAATCGGTCATTAACTTAATTATTAAGCCTGCGGTACCAAATTAAAATTAGACAATACTAAATTAAAATTATTCAAATCTTATTATCTAAACTTAAAAGAAAATTAGAAATAACGATTAATACAATTTTATTATGAGTTATTCTACCAATCAATTTTTTTTAATACAAGTCTTTTTATTTTTAAATACAAGTCATCAATAACTCCAAAATGATAATGAAAAGTCACTTTTCAAACATTTACAATTCACAACGCTTTTTATTTACAATTCATTTTGACAATATTTTGACTTGTTCTGCTTGAAAATTGCGCTGATCAAACAAATCGGGGTGTGGTTGAGAGACCTTGTAATGCAACGCGTGTTATATCTTGATAACCTCACGAGTGTTACATTACGATAACCCGTTGGCTGGAACCAAACAAACAATTTTATCGGTACAGCTCAATCGCATTAAACAGCCGTCGCCGTATTTTGCCACTCAGTATCGTCGGGACGATAGCTGGTTATTTAAGGCAATCGATGTAATTAGCCGTCCCCGCTCAAGTTTAACCATCCGCTTCACTTCAGCTTGTTCCCCTTTGACCACTTGTCGTTCGCTTCAGTTCCATTCAGTTCATCTGCGACGATCCATCGTATCGCCAACAATCGAACATTCGACTGTTCAGCCGTGTTCAGCTCGCAACTGGTCTCGAACATATATACATATATTCTTCAGCTCAGACTCCAAGAAATGGCTACGTAAATATCGGCCTGTTGTATCTGTTTTGATAGATCATGATAGATCCATTTCCCTTGCTCCTGCATCTTTCTTTTTTTTGTAATGAAAACGTAAGAAATGCGAAATTGCGGAAAAGTGCACACTATGGTGTACGTACAAGTACGAAAAAGTGCAAAGAGTGCACGCCACGTGAAAAAGTAGACGTACGTCTGTTCCGCTTAAAGCGGGGAGCACAGACTTTTGCATAACGCATAATACATGAGGCATAAGAAATTAAACCAACCAGAGTTCTCTATTACATGGAAGGGAAAGAAACGGAGAACTTCGATTGGTACATATTCTTATGCATTACGTGTTATGCGTTATGCAAGAGTCTGTGCTCCCCGCTTAATCCTTTACAATCTTCTTTTTCTTCTCTTTCCCTGAATCTAAAATTGTCTCAGGATGTATAATGCAAATATCGTAATTTGTTTACAGGCAGGCGCGTGAAAATGTGAAAGTCGAAAAAGTGACAGATGCTTACGGCCTTTCCGAAGGCCCTCATTGGGATCATCGTACTCAAAAGTTGTATTTTGTTGACATATATAATCAGTATATACGCAGACTAGATCCCGCAACAGGTGTTGTGACCAGTGCATACATAGGTAGACTATACATTTCTTTTTTATTAGGGGAAGGTCAAATTAGAGTGACTTTTAAACATAATGGGGAGGAATAGTTGAATATAAAATGGATTATTGAACTTGTTTTGTTTTACATTATTTTTAATTAATTATTAGCAAACAAAAATCACAAAATCACACATTTGATTTACTAATTTACTTAATTTTTCTCTTAAAATTGTGAACTGATTCTTTAAACTGAAAAAACTTAAATTTATAACACTATATAGTGTCAGAAAATCTTTCTATAACTTTCACCTCCAATTCCTTCTCCTTTTCTGAAAGTAATTTCTTGTGATAAGCATTAAGTATGGTCCGTTTAAGCTTTTAATTATTTTTGTCCTTTAAAATTTAGGAGGCCACGACTTTCCTATCCCCTTTGGTTACACTCATGTTTCTTTATAAGCTTTTCTATGTTTCACTGTTTATGGCATTTATTTTAGAAATTCTATAATGTGCTTTTTCAGATCATGGGACTATAGGAGTTGCTGTACCTTTGGATGACAGTGTTGACCAACTTATAGCAGGTTCAGGAAAAGATGTTATTCGTGTTACATGGGACGGAGACAGCAATAAATCTAAGGTACCAGTCAAAGTGTTGTGTTCGGTCGATTCTCCTCAGGCTCAAACGAGAATTAATGATGGAAAAGTGGACTCGGCTGGAAGATTTTGGCTCGGTAAATTAAAAATATCAGAAATTATAGAAATGCAATTTGTTTGCTTACACCTAATATATGTTTTTCATAGGTACTATGGGTAACGAAGTAAATGGAAAGATAGCTCCCAATTTAGGGACATTATATCGCGTTGATGATGATTTTGAGCCAAAAAAGGAAATATCACCTGTTACAATAAGTAACGGATTGGCATGGAATATAGAAGATGACACTTTGTATTATATTGATTCACCTACTCGTCAGGTTGCAGCGTATGATTACAATCCGACTAATGGGACAATATGTAAGATACTAGATTTTCCATTTGAAATTATGTTATAAGCAAATGTGCAAAAATATTTTCATATGTAATTGAAAATTACGTCACCATGAAGTATAAAATTTGAAAATATAATTTATTATATATTTATGTATGTTTATATATAATTTATGTTTTAGCTAATAAGAGGATTGTATTCGATCTCAATAAGACTAATTTGAAAGGATTACCTGATGGAATGACTATAGATACAGATGGCAATCTTTGGATAGCATTATTTGGTGGATCTCGAGTAAGTATACAAAGTAATATTTAAAAATAAATGAATTATTATTTATAATATTATAGAATTACCTAATGTAACAATATATGTATATAATTAAATTTTATTATAGTAATTGAATTTATTAAAATATTATTGAGATTTTTGTAATCTATGAAAAATTTATCTATTCTAGGTTATTTGCGTAGATCCGAAAACAGGAAATGTATTATCCAAAGTTGAGCTTCCAGCTGAAAACGTAACCAGTGTCGCATTCGGCGGTCCGCTTCTAGATACTTTGTATGTGACCACATCTGGTTACAATATAAGTGCAGAGCAACGACAAGCAACTCCTCACGCTGGTGCTATATTCGCGGTGACAGGCCTAGAAGTTCGTGGAGTTCTTGCAAATTCATTTATAATGATAGATTAAAAGAATAGGAATTTTGCAAGAAATAGATATCTTGATACTTCTTGCGCGAAAATGTACGTAATTTATAAATTTTATATCATTGAATAAAAATTAAATACTACTCCTGAAAATAATGTTTTTAGGTTCATTTGATTAGGTTGAAAAAAACCGACACTTGACACGATTAACCCTTAGGGCCTAGACACAAGCTTTTGCATAACGCATAACGCATAGTGCATAAGCGAATCAACTAATCAAAAGCTTTCCTTTCTTCTCATTCCATGGAAAAGAAGAATTTTGATTGGTTGTTTCCATTATGCACTATGCATTATGCTTTATGCAAGTCTGTGTCGCGGCCTTTACCGTACCATCTATAATTTGGTGCCTCATCCATACCAAGGTCACTAGAATCTCTTCGTTTTTTCACCTCTTCAAAATAATTTTAAAAATCTCTAAAAATTCACCAACATACTTCCAACTTTCTAGAATAAATATTAACTTTTTATTTTGGAAAATAATACAATGTAGTATAATTTATAATTACCGAAAGATTCGTAAGTTGGGAAAAAATGGCATTTGATTTAAAAAATTATAACTTTTCATAATAAATGAATATAAAAAAATCACTCCAGTGTTTTGTAGTTTAGATATGAAGTTATGAAAAAAAAAATACTAGAACTTTGAATTCTACAAAAAGTTGAATTATTTGAACACATAAATATGAGTAATTTTTAGTAAGGGACATATAGAAAAAATCGAGTTAAAATGCGCATTTTTTTATTTCGTTGTAATATAATGTCTTTTTTAATAAAATAAAATATAAAATAAAAATACATATTCAAATAAATATGTATAAAAGAAAAGTTTTACGTTTTGCAATCTGTACATATGTAAGTACAATGTTGTTCACAAATCGGTTTTCCGCATATGAAACAACATATCCAGGTTTTTTTGTCCGCAGTGTTCTTGCAATAATAACATCGTTTTCTTGTTTCAAGCTTATGTTTTCTTTGTGTTAGTTGCGATTCTTCTATTCGTAAAATAGCACAAATAGATCGGTCATTCCACGTCAAACCGGGCACTTTTTGATTAAAAAAAAAATCGATGATTCCGATTGTTTTAAAATTTTGTGGACGTATTCTAGACATAAAAAAATGAGACACGTGTTTTGGGAAAAAATTAAAAACATATTTTCACGAAGTTATGCTTACCTTTAAGTTTCAATAATTGATGGAAAACGTGACTTATGTGTATATTCAAATGATTGTACCGCTGAAACGGTAAGTCGAATGAAAAAAATACAAGAGATCAATTTTAAAGATTATAAATTATTCTATTTTTTGGTTATTTTTAAATATGCATTTGTTTTGAATAAATCTTTTTTTTTATTGTTTATAATTTTTAAATGCATTTTTTGTGTCATCAACTCACCAACTTAGAGTTTCAAAAAATAATTCATCATATTCGCTCTTTAATTCTGAAATAATCCTGAAAATTTCAAAATGGAACTCGAATGGATTGTTACGTCCGGGAGGACTCCACGATTTCCTCGTTTCGAGATTATCTAATAGGGTGATCGTTGAGACAGGATGTAAGAGAAAATGCGAGAGTT